GTATTAAGACTTTATTAGCAAAGAAGTATAAAAACTTCTTGTAAACATCTTTTTTGTGTGTGGTCAGAGGATCAGTGAAAAAAGTTTTGTTTTTTAATAAAGATCATAGTTAATGATGAGTTCCTAAAGTATTTAGTATATAAAATTTTATAAATTACTTATGTTCCTTTTTTAAAAATAAAATTCATAGCTCTTCATTTTAATGGAAATAAAATTTAAAAAATATTATAAATCAAAAATTTTGATAATAGAGAATTATCCAGGATAATTTATTTATAGTTACAATTTAAAAATTTTGAAGTTTCTTAGTAAGGAATATTTGACTTTTGTTCTTACTTTTTCCTTTAGAAACCCATCTTCAATCACAGTATCAAATCTATATTGTTTCTTAAATCTGACTTAGAATACCTAGTTGAGATTTTGTTTTGCTTAATCCAAACTAGCTTAGTGAACTTCAATATTTTTAAGATAATATGATCCTTTAATCAATAATTTAACAACGAGTTAGCTGTCATGTGAATAGTTTATATAATTTTGAAGAATGTCACAATAAAGACACGCCATGACGGCATGATAAATTATTTTAAATGTAAATTATGCTTTACTAATGTGGTGTAGATTAATGAAATGGTGGTTGCAAGTTAAATGAGAATGATGCTGATATCGACATGGCGAACTACGTATTCTCCATGAACATTGTTGGAAATTAAATTATAGAGTTCACAATGAACCTTCGTACTGGTACGTTGCCCGAAAAATAGTCTAATGAGTCAACTCCACGAGGACAATACCGCTAGAAACCTTTAGGAATAACTATAGTTATGCTATCGCCGAATTCACCCCATTTTATCCTTTGAGTGACATAAATTACGATCCAGGTGGTAAAAGCTATTAGCCAAATTATTGATCCGAATATCGATAAGTATATGTCTGGTTTTTAACAAGAGGCATATTAGTGAGTGGAAAAGTGAGATGCATCAACCAAACCAATTGCAATAAATCAATAAAATAAAACCTCCAGTGACTTGTTACTTACAGTTTTTTATTTTCGATCCAACTTCGACCCGTTTTAAGCAAGGCCACATATAAATTGCATTAACTACCCATAGCCAGGGTAAAAATAGGAAACCGATAAAAAAATATTTTTTACAGAGTGAAACAATTTCGTGGGGCGGAGTTTTTAGTGAAGGTGGCATTATTGAGTTGTTTAAAATTTCAAATTGATCACGATATAATATTGTTCTTTGTGCGAGTTCGAGAGTGCGCGCGACTTATGTTATACCTCATGTAATTTTAACAGCCAATCAAAGGAAATCTTCGTGTTGTGTATATGTAACATACATACATTACGCACTCAGCTTGATTATCACTATTTCCTCTGTGATAAACGTTAAACAATGAGTAAAAAATCGAACGGTTCTTCGATAAATATGTCCATTGCCCGGCCTTCTTCCTTCCCCTTAACAATTCTTGCACCTCCCTCTATTTCCTCATCTCGACTTAAAAGGATGCCGGCTAATTCCTCGATGAGTTCTGTTCCCTCAACACTTTCTTTGAATTTGTGCAGAAAAATGCGCTGTGCGTATTCAATGTTTCGGGTTTGTAGAGTTATAATTACGGCTTATTTTGCGCGAAATCACGCGTTTATTTAAACTTCCCGTATCATTCATTCCTCCAATTTCCCTTGACATAGCTCGTTTTGCTCAAATGACAGTGTTACTCGGAGAATTGGGAATCCCCGCTGCCGTGGTTACACCTGATGATTGCGTACCGACGCTCTGGGTAGCCTGCTTCGAAAAACTCTGTGGTTATGTCCCTGATATCATCGGGCATGCATATACACCCGAGGCTCACCTTAATAATCTTCGAATCATAGTTGGAATTTTGGCACATGATATTATAAAAGACGACCTATCACATATCTCATTAGAAGGGGTTCGTGACATGGATGTTAAATCCGTTTTGAACATGATAGAAATATTTGTTCTTCTTCAAAAAATTCCAGTGGAACAAAGGTTACAAAATCGAAATTTGTATCAAGGAGAAAGATCAATGAATTCAAAGTCTCGAATCGTGATAAAAGAATTAGAGCAAAAGGCTCCGGAAAAGGCACGCAATGCCTCCACTCGTAGTTTTAACGATATTGATTCGACGAGCAAAGAAGGATCACAAGAAAATCCACTATTCTATTCCATAAATTCCTTGGAAAATGCAAATGGATCTATGGTGGACATTGAAAGACAACAATTTTTGTCGAAAAATACTAGCTCAAAGTTTCTACGAACCCCAGACATTTCACCAATGAATTCACATGAGTCTCAAATGTTATCGATGCATAATGCTTCGACGGTTTCATTGGCATCATCTCGCGAAACCAAAAAAGAACAATTTTCATCCGAGACACCCAACTCATCACTGTCAAGGTCGAGAATCGCAAATTTTTTAAGCGAGAATAAAAGAGATGATGACAATCTGGTACCAGTAGGTTCAGGCAGTAGAGTTCCGTCGCCAGCCGTCAGCAGGAAAGGCGTGAGATTAACTATCAAGACCGATCAGGAAGAGTTCGTTAAACGACAAGATCCTGATGAATCTTCCGTTAGAACTGACAATGATCATCAACAGACGGTCAATGATAATAATGCATGTGCAGATTTCGCTGATTTGGTAACTCCTATCAACGACATTCAACCAAAAGAATCCGGTCCTGGAACAAGCGACGAGAAAATTGAACGTATGAATGTAACTAACAACAAAGTGCCAAATAATAGTATTAACGGAAGTCTCCTCGGAAATACAAATCATATAGGAGAAAACAGACCTATTAATTCACATGATCCCAAATCGACCGAAATAATAGTTCCAACGAAGTTGATTAGAAAACAATCGGATCAAGGAAACGATAAGCTTGCGTCGCATTTTGCATCGGAGGAAAATCCGCGAGGTGACATGCGCAATAATAGTCCCGATCTACTTGGCGCTAATCGACCTTTTTTTAGTTATAAATATTCGCATGACACGTATAAACTCGAGCAGGAAAGTTTGCAATCTCGCTCCTTAAACTCAAAGAGAAGAGATAATGGTGATCGAGGTGGCGACGACCGGGGAAAATCGAGCGTGTCGTCAATTTCCACTTTGAATGAAGTTGTACCGAAAGATCAAATCAAAACATATATTGCTGGTAATCATGATTGGAGTTCACCCGGAACACGAAAGGGCTTAGGTGTAAGCAACAATGCATCGGGTGATGTCGCGTTAAACAAAGTTCCTAGTAAACAACACTCTGATATCATCATGGATGTTTCTAGTAAACATACTGCAAAATCTTATTTTATCCCGTTACAAGAAAATGAAAAATCTGGTTCGGATGATTCAACGAGGCTTCATCAATCTGTTTCGTTGCAGGAGTGCAATAATTCCTTTGTGCAAACAGACAATATAAACTCATCATCATTGTTCAAACAGAACGCGCGTCCACAAATATCCTCAAGTATTACGCTCGATTCTCGGAAAGGTTCTTACCAGTTATCCATTAAAAATGGTATTAAATCGCCTCCTAGCGAAGATTCGAAGTCCTCACATAACCCGAGAAAGCGGATAGCCGGTTTACCAGTGACAAAAGTCGATTCCAGAAAACGGGCGAGAACGGTTGGTGAAACTTTAAGATCCTTCTTACCAAAAATTTATTTAGTTTACGATTTGCATTCTTATTTACTTCATAAACTTAGAAATCTAGTAGTACACCCTTCACAAAATTGCTAAAGTTGCGTAGGGCACGATCAATTCGGGAAAATGATAGGTTGACTGTCGAGGGTGTGTTTAAATTGAATTGAAGTTATTGCTCCTTTGAATTGTTCAACCCTTATTCTTTTATACATTTGATCGTCGTAGGTAAGATCAAAAGTCCTCATCTGAGCGAGCAAGTCATGAAGGCATCAAGAAAGTTGGCAAACATTAAATATGGAATAAGAACTGGTCAAAAAGAGATTTACAATCAAAATACATTTGCCAGCAGACACAGAGTCAGATTGTCACCAACCCCTTCGGATACTGCAAGTGTTAGTAGCATCACGTCAGATACCGTTTCCACTACTACCTTGTCATGTGAGATCACATCATCACAGGTTGATAGCTCTGACATATATTACACGTCAAGCGTAAGTGACGACGAAGAAACGAATGATTCGGTTGGTGCTCTGCCCAATATTGCACGTCACATGGAAGGCCAAATTCTCAAAATGAAAATTCCGGAGTGGTATAATCAGACAACGTGGGATAATCAAATTGAAAGTGATAACGTAAAGCAGTGGTTTTTTTCTTAAAATTTGTTCTTGGTCGTCTAATTCGGGTAAATTTATTATTAACAGCAGTCTAATTGGTTGTTGACTTAGGGTGAGGAGAATGGACGTAGAAATGAAAAAGAGATGATGATTATGGCACGGAATATGATTGATGAAGAACGAATCGTTAGTTGTCGTGAATTACATACATTATCTATATTGTTTATTATGCATACATAACACGATCTTATATCGATACATATTTTTATTTAGGCTGAGACTGGGGATCGACGGGAAAAATTAAATGCCCCCAGGGAACACGGACGAACAATTGCGAAATTAACTAAAGAAAACAGGGAAAGCAGAGAACAATATAGGAAATCAACTAAACAACGAGGTTATTGTGAAGAGGTATTTAAAAAAAAACCCCCCCAATCCGGTTAGGCATGTCTTGTCAATTATTAACACGTTTGTTATAAAATTCCTATTTGCGTTGTTAGACGAAAGAATTACACGAGAAGTGCTGTAAAAGACAAACCGATTTGACACGAGGTATCAAAAGTTGCGGACACCTAGCAAATGAAGAAATCGAAACATCCTCGAGAGATGCATGGGAAAATTTTCTGAGGGAACATATTAACTTGCTGGAAGTTAACCCCAAGAAACTTGTGGAAGATCGTGAATTATCCAAAACACAGGTAGACATTATTTCTTTATTCTTAATCGGAAAAATAATCAATTTTTTTAAATATTGCAATTGTTTTAAACGTTTGTAGCTAAAGTTAAAAATAGATTAGCAAAATTCGATCTTGAAACAAGATTCTCCTATGGAAACTATACTGACCAAATGGAAATAAAGCTATTTGGTTATATACTGTATAACAAATAATCAATAAATATTTGTTAAAACTAGGTAACGGAAATTAATGTAATGTCTGAAGCATTTGTTATAATGTTGAAAATCATATAACATTTATTCTATTATTGAATTCATATTTATATTATTGATAATTTTAGTATTATTTGTTAATTTTTTAAATTTTTTTTTTGAAAATCAAGTAATTATTCACAAGATCTAATTCATTAAAGGTTTCTAAATGAAGATAAAAATATGTTATATTTTTTAAAATATGAATTCAGAAAATTGTTATTACTGTATATTATATACAAGAAATTAATATTAGGTCTCAATCTTATAAATTAAAATTGTTTATATAAAATAAATAAAAATTTATAAATAAGAATAATAGTTTTTTTTAATTCACAATTATAATTTTATAACTAAATTTTTATTAAAATAAAAATATAAATAATATATATATATTTTTTTTTTAAACCCTCTGTCAGGCTAGGTATGTGTGCTTTATTAAACATATGTATACTTTACATTAAAAATGTAT